CTGGTTATACCTATGGACGAGGTTTGGCCTAATGGTTCGTGTCATGTTGCCAAGAGATCTCCCCACAAATTTTTGGAGCACCGTGGGTGTGTTATAAAAAACGGTCAAATCTAATTATCAGAAAAACAAGTAATAAAAACATTTTGTAAATATAAAAGAATGTAGGGATGGCATGGCTAAAAAGAATGTAAACAAGAATATATGGATGATACAGCTATCCACAGATCATCTCTACATGACTTTCAACATTAAGATTTAATGTTACACTGTAAAATGCATGAGTATAAAATGGTTACGAGGTCGGTCAATTCGACCGACCTCGTGACAAGAGTCTGTAATAGTTTATAATAATCAAGACATAATTGACTTACCTTGGTTTTCCTTGTACGTAAGTCCTAGGCTCATAATTACACTACATTGAAGCCTACCCTGACATGACCATGATATTATGATAAACAAACTGCATACCAACAGTCAGGAATATATAACTTTCAACTGGAGTAGTATTAGTCAAGTATGCATTTTACAGTGTAACATGTAGGAATGATTTATGTTATAGCTGTATCATTCCTATATTCTTGTTTGCATTCGTTTTGGCACTGCTATTCCTACATCATTTTTCATTTACAAAATGCTTTTTATTACTTGTTTTGTAATGTTCCCAACCCCTTGACTGAAAGCTAGTGTATTCCGTTAATGTATGTAATATAATTTAATATTATGTGTGTTGATTTTCTTTTTACTCCTTCACTTCATATATAATATAGGAGTTAGCTTTCTGAAGACACCAATTGTATCGTGTACAAAGCTTTGAGTGTTCTACATGTTACAGTCATCTAATGTTCATCTATTATTGTTTGGTAATTCCTGTTTCACTTTGTACTTAAACTTTTTAAAGGAACACCAAATTTCTGTAAGAAAGCTAACTTCAATGGGTAATAATAACATCGTTTACACTAGAATTATTTTTTTAAATTACTACTAGTTATTACAACTAAGCACTACTCCAAAATACATAGAGTGGATTTAGGTTTAAACTGATGTTAGTGATAAAGTAGTTATAGAGTTAAATCGACTGAAACAAGAAGAAAGATGAACAATTTAGTAGGTTGGTCCCTTTATAGTTTGGTGTCTCAGCCTTGTTTTTGGATTTGTTGGGTAGAGAAACAAATGAAAGTGAGTGGCAATCATCTTTTGAAGTAAAACTCTCTCTCACTGTTGATTTTTAGCGTACATATTTGTATTATGCTTATTGGGTATCTTTGTAATCCCTACATACAGAGTCTACTGACTCTATGATTATGGTAGCCCAAGAGTTGGTGTTGGACGCTATTGACTGTAGCTGCCTTCCCTCTAGGTTATCAGTTCAAAGAGTATCCCAAAGAAACAAACAAAAAGTTAGGTTTATTCTAATTTATTTTTCTGAAAAAGCAGTGTGGCAAATGAATTTTTTATTTAAGATTAGATTTTAATAAATTAAATTCCAAGATATAATTTAATCATTTTAGCCTTTATCGCGAAACCATGGTCGTGAATAAATGAAGTTTTTGTGTAGCGTACAATTGTCTTTGTTTTTCTCTTTCTTGAATTCTGTATTATTAATACATTTATTAACAGCCTATTCAAAAGAAAAGACACCTTTTTTTGAAGTGTTTGACCAACCTTTTTTTTAATCAGTTTATTGAACTGTATTATTTGAGTCTATGACATATATGTCGATTGTAAATCTCTATAAGCTATGAATAGTGCATTAAGAATATTTTTACTGGTCCTTATAGTCATTGGTATGTCGCCCTCCAAACATATGGGACCCCTGCCAGGGTGATCAACACTTTTGAGAGCTATATCCGTGACTAGAAAGTGTTGAATAGAAGAGTAAATGTAGATTAGAGTATATTGTTACGACAGCGGAAGTCACGTGACTCTAGTAACACGTCATGAACTTCTAGAAGGATCCTGTCCCTTCCTGAATGCTCGAGCGTTTACTAGGTTTCGGTATTCTTTTATATATAAGACGGTCAAAACGTGACGGTAACAATGTAATGTGTAATTGACAGTTGAGTCGAGCACGTGAGATGTTCGAAAAGCATGCGACGAATCTGATGGTAGTGATAATTCTATAAATGACAAAGATTTATGTGAAGATTAATGTCAAATGTTAAGTTACATCCACCAATTGTCAGTTAAAGGCTTTTACTTATACTTCTTAATAGTATAAATATTGTTGCGTCATCGAGATCACATGACTACAGTGATGCCACGTTTCTAGAACTATCCCGTATCTTGGGGAATGCTCTAGTATTTGCTAGATATAGGGTAGTTTGGTATATATAAGAGGGGACAACGTGACGCGAGATTAAGGTAATGTGTGTATAGATAGTGAGTAATTGAACTGCAGTCACAGGGTATTGTTGAAGTTAACGTTCGTTCGTTACAGTGTTGTTTTAGCGCGAGTATTGAGATTAAGTGTACCGCAAAGTTATATTCGGAAAGAATAAACCAGTTTTATAAAGTAAAGACTTGTGTCATTAAAGTTTCGTTGGAACGAAGTTACGGAAAAATCAATTAACAAACGGAGACGTAACAATATATACTGTGTTGTTGTTGAGCTTAGGATTTTTCTACAGTAGGTGTCTGTGACTCGTTGATGATAAATTCAACAATAAATGAACAGAATGCACTCCACTTGTTTTCAAAGTATTATATGTATTCTGATCAAGTGAAATGTATGATTTACACATTAATTACACAGAGATTATCATAAACACTGTACAGTTCTCTTCTTAGGCCTATTCAATTGCTTCAGAATTTCAGTTGACAAGCCAAACTATGTTTCTCTATTAGTATTACTAAACTATTCTTGTAAAGTTCACTTATTTTATCGTTGAGTTACCACTGTTGTATCCTACACTTCTAAAAGCGTCTGTTCCTTTTTCTCTCTCTCTCTCTTTCCGAGAATCATCTGTCTATTTGTCAAAATCCAATGAGGCTAGTTCAATTACTTTAAAACTCTCTTTGACAAAATAAACTATATTTCTTGTCTCTTTTAACACTGTTAGTTTTCCTCTAACATATTAATCATTAGGTCTTTCACTCCTGTGACAGTTAACTTTATGTTTAACTTTCTTTGGCTGAATTCCTTTTTGTTACTTTACTTCTCGTCCGCAACTGTCTTTATCTGTCTGTCTATTTTATCATATTGCTACGCCTCCGTTCCTTAGTTAATTTTATGTAAAAATTCTTTCCGAAGAAACTTTAGTGATACAAGTCCTTTCTTAAATAAAACTGGTTTATTCTTTCTGAATACAACTTTGCGATATAGTTAATTTCCACAGTCTCGCTGTAACAAATGGTATAATTCACAATTTTCTTTGTAAAATGCACAAAAGGCAACCACCAGCAGATGTCTATCATATTAAATTTAGAGTAATTTAAAAATGACTTAAATAAAAACTAGCTGAAAATGGGAAGAATAATCTTATATGAGAAATGGGAAAATGGCTCCAATGGAACTACTCATGAACTAGAACATAAATCTTAAAATCAGTTATTAACTCTCAGAAATACCTCCCATAAAATTCCCTATACATTATATTCGTGAATGTTTAATTTTGTGAGGTATTTTACTAGATCTTACCATTGAAAATCATTAAAGGTTTTGAAAAATTTTGCATATCCAATGTAATGGATGAGATGGATGATAACATGCTGTGGTAATCAGAAAAGGATGAAGTAAAGGTTGAAGGAAGCAAATCCAATCCTTTTTTTACTAAAAACGTTCAACAAAAATGTTTTTTTTAAGAGATAACCTGATCATTTCCTACTTCATGAATCACTAATGTCAAGATGACCACATGGTTCCCATTTTATTTGTTTTAAAATATGCAGTAATTCACCATTAATCTTGTATAAATCAAATAAATTAATAAACAAGTACTGCAAAGATGTTTTATGGTCAAAGGTAACAGTAATAACATCTGTACTTAAAACCTCTTACGATTGTAATTAGAAGTGGAGAAAGTTATAATTTTTCTATACTGAAAACATATTTCTGATAGGTACTTCCCTCCTCTCAGAAGATTAGTTCCCCTTTTGTGCTGCCCTCTATATGCAAACTTCTGCATAACGCATGCCACAAGCCTTCTGCACCCCCTATTGTAATCAAAGATTCCAACATGATTCTCATGCAAATTATCATGTGTCATCTCTACACCAATAGGAGAGCACTACTATCATGTGATGTATGTGAATCTCTCTATGTGCCACTAACAAACCATCATTTCAAAGTTTGGCAGATGACGCAAACACCTGAAGATT